CTTTATCTCAGCAGCCTAGGGCAGAGACCATCTTTCAGGTCTCTTTGCACAGATACTGCTGCAMAAGCGTCCTTGCTCTGCAATAAAAGCTCTCAGACACTGCAATAAAGCAGACACTACTCTTATTCTACACTTTTTATAAGTATTACTGATGTCTACCGAACATGAGTCTACAGGACTATTTTCCAAACTGAACGGTCTGTAAGGAATAAGTGAACAGACTGTTTTAACTAGACTGCCTAGGTTCCCCCCCCAAGACATGTTGCTTTTTGCCTAGCAGAGCATAATTTTTTTGTTTGTTTGTTTTTACTTTTATCATAAAGAGAAAGGGGATGCACTTTGCAAAGAGACATGACTGTTACAAATTCCTCAGTACAACTTTCAAGAAAGCCTCTCTCCGAAGGTGTGAGCCAAAGCCCGGGGAGGCTGCCGGGATTTTTGCCATTGCCTTTACTCTATTTTGGACTTGACGCTACTCGACGAACCAGCGGACGCTGCCAAGCCCGTTACTGCCTTCTTCCTGCACTCCTTACACAGCCTGCTCCGGGCAAGGAGGTGGCATTTCCAGCTAGGAGCAGCTTCCCGGGGACAAAGCCCAGGGCAGCACCCACAGCTTCCCCTCCTCAACACCACGTCGAGCAACCGGGCCCCTCTGCGTGAGCAGGCACCGGCAGGAGGACGTGGCATAAAAAAAAAGAAGATTTAAAAAAAMCCCTCTCACGTTAGGCAGTCCAGCTGTTTCCTCCTGGTTGACTAAATTAGCGAGCTCGTACGTCACCTCCTGCCGCAGGTAGGGTCCATTGAATCCTTCTTCCTGTTTAATCCATATAAAATGGGAAATGGCTTTTGAGGAAGACAATGACGGAACACGAGGGTGGTATTTCTGCAGGCTTTTAGYTGATAAACTGGCAGGCTGCTTCGGGAGGCTGAGAGCCCTGACAGGGTGGTGGCTACATACAGGGGAAGCCACTATGAGAGAAAGGGAATGTCTTCTCCTCATCACATCCCTCTGGAGCTCTCCTTTGCTCTGCACACAGGGGATCACAGCCATCTTTGACATAATGCTTCCAATGCATGGAAGGTCAATGCTGAGGAATGATGAAGTCATGGAGCTGCCTGCTAACTTTCTGGCTCTCCTCCAGCACCCGAAGCAAAGATAGTAATTCAGACCAGTGAGTCAAACCAGATCATAGGCCCTAGAAGTCAAGCCACACAGTGTTTCTTAATGGGATGGAGGGGGAAGGCAGAAAACAGATCAGAAGCCTTAAATAATTGCTCCATCTGCTCGTGTAACGTGGCCTTCTGTTTCACATCCAGTCCCTCATTGAGCTGTACCTTCAGGCCAAGGCTGTGTGAGATCCAGGAGGGCCTTGTCACATCCACTCTGGAAGAAACTGGGCTCCCATTCTCCAGCTTTGCAAAGTAAAAGCATCARAACCAAAACAGCTAGGCTTACCCCTTTAGTAGTGGGCAGGGATAGCTGAGAAAAGTGATCTGGTCGTGCCAGTTTTATGTCTGACCACACTGACATTTTGCAGCAGGTCACTTGTGACAAGGGCACTCAAGCTCTCCTGGAACAGCACTTTTCCAGCAGGGAAATGCCAGCAGCCCCAGGAGATCAGCGACCACCCCAAGGAACACGGGGATGGATTCCTACAGGAGCCACCACAAGATATCTGGGGATGACATGAGGAAACACTCACCTTGGGGAGGAATCAAGGGCAATATGGAGATTTCTCATGTGGCTTAAATCAGCAGGGCAGCTCACTCACGTAGCTAGGAAGAAACAGGGCAGCCACATCCAAAGTAAATGAGTTTTAGCTTTGCTCCACACTGTACAGAGCTGACTGCAACAACCACAGCAGGACTAGACTAGCACAGAGAGGGAAAATCGGGAGTGAGGAGCACATCCCTGCCCCGGGGTTAGCGCTGACACACTTAGCGACCTCAGCAATGACCCCAAGCAGACAAGTGTCTAGCGAGATAACGCACATCAGTAACTGTGCCATCCTTTTTGGAGGGGCAAYCGGTCAGGGCAGGGAGGGCCCCCCTGCATTTGGCCTCCAACAAACGTCTGCGGGGCCAGGCTGAGGGCAAGACCGCGCGCAGGTGGAGGTGCCAACGGCCTCTGCCCTAACCAAGGGCACCTGCATGACAGGAGCCCGGCGGGCATGGGGGAACGAGTGCCCAAAGACAGCCTGGAAACAGGGAGAGGGCAACGTGGCTTCTTTAAGTCACTATGGATGGATAAAGTGGGCAGGCATCGACTGTCTGTTTCCTCACCTCCCCCTTTTTTCTTTTTTTTTTTTTTAAATAAAGAGCCTATTTTTATATTGAGATTTTTTTTTAGTTTTGAACAATTCAGACGATCACAATAAGAGCCAGGGAAGGCACTTCACAAACAAATTAAGTTTGAAGAGCTGAAAAAAGAGTTTCTGTTTAAACTGTAGCAGGAGAGGAGAAAGGGATTTTGTTGTCAGCCTTCTATTTGCAGAATGAAGAACTGGCACTTGGAGCTGTTCAATGAATCGTCCTAACCCAGCCAGCGTCACCTCACCATGGCTCAGCCAGCCTATGATCCCTCATGAGCCAAGGGTCTTTCCAACAAACCCAGACTTGACCTTCTTTATCAATCACAATCAATATTTAGGGAATATCTCTATCGAAAAAGAAAATAAATTGGATCTAGAAAGTCAAAAGCTCCGAGAGCAGCAATGTGCTGCCCTAGGGATGACCCACGGCAAAGGCAGCCAATAGAGCACCCAGATGGAAACCTCTGTGCATGGCTCCACGGCAGGTCCCTAGGCTGGCTGGGGTCCCAGGGCCAGCTGCCTGCATCCATATCAAATCGTACTGGATCTAAGAGTTTAATCTCTTCCCGTGTGCAGAACCCTRCGAATCTTCCAGCGAGGTATTTAATCTCCGCAGAAGTTTCCTGCACAGCGATCACAGAAGCGGACGCACAGAGCTGCCTCCTTTCTTTTAGCTTCCCRAGGCCACAAACGCCGTCCATGTGTCTTGACAAATGTCTCTTCTAGGGAATGACTCCCAGTATCTAGGCCAGGCACTGCAGGCACTTGTTTGCTGCTCACATTTAGCCTTCTTYGGGGATCCACAGTGCCTAATTGGCCTTTATCTCCTCTAGGCTCCACTGCTGACCCAAAAGATCAACCCAAGAGGGATGAAAGGTTCCARCCCATGGAGCTGCTGCAAACTACCATCTGCTTAAATCTAGGAAATGAAGAGACCAGGACTTTTAGACCTCTGGGTTAATCTGCTCATCTAAAAGCAAGAGATTGACATGGAAATGGATGACTTATTTTTAATTGAATTACTGCAATGCTCATTTGTGAGTTAAAACTATTGCACTCAATACTGCACAACCAAAGATTGGGAGTCTGTGGGATGTAAGGTAGACACAACGCAACTCAAACAACCAACCACTTAGCYTTGCATTTTTCTGGACAAAAACATGGAAGTACTATATAGAAAACAGTATGAGAAAAGCTGTACAGAGAGAGGGATGGAGGGAAAGGTTGACCATTAGAAACAGTACACAGATTTTGTTGTAACAGTTTAGATTGGCATTGCTATTTTAGCAGCAGCAATGTCAGTAGCCACCAATCAAATGCAGAAATGCATTTCAACAAGATAACAGGGAATATATTTAGTTTCAAATCTGTAAAGACAGGGCTTGCATCCCTACTTTTTAGTTACCTTCAAAATGATAAGAAATTATTAACACCAGTATCTTCTAGTGATCATGGAGGTGTTGCTACCCTTCATTTGTGTATGCTGAGGCTTGGCAGAACTACCAGACTCCTCCATGGAGGGGTCACAGGCTCTGATACCAAACTGCAACCACCTTTCAGGTGAGATAAGCGCCCTCAGCTGTGCCTGCCACATTCAAAGCGACAACGTGCAACAGCTGAAGAGGTCTTTACCACACAGAAGTGACGAAYGTCCCCGAACACACACGTTTGGCTGGCAAGACATGAGCCCCAAGGCTTCCGTGCCTCTTACCTGAGCACGGGACCTCTGAGTCCCCAGCAGACCAGGCTGCCGCTTCCAGCCGGCCTCTCTCAGCAACACAGTGCCCTCTAGCCCTGAACCGGGCTACGGCTCCACCGGGTCTCAGAGGAAAAGCTCAGTGACAYCGAACGCCAACCCCAGCCTCATGTCCCATCTCCAGCCTTATCTTGCAGGCAGCCCATTCAAACGGTGACCGGCTCCAGAGGAATCTGGTAGCCAGGAAACAGGCAGCACTCGCGGTGACTCCTCATCGGCTGCAACAGCCCCTCAGGCTTTTCCTTACCCGAGCAGGGTGAYTACCTCCAGCACACAGACTCCAGTCTTCTAAGTATTTAAACTCAGCTTGCATTTTGAGAGCAGAATTAAAGCTCTTAGTTAGTTAAYACCCAAATCAGGGTGAGGGAGACAGAGGAAAAAATATGGTTTTTCTATGAATGTGGATGGGCAAAAGCTGCCCCGCTGCAGGCTGCGAGCTCCCGGAGGCAGCGACACTTCCACAYGCATCCCGTGGCATGGGAGGGCTGGAGGGCGGCTGGAAACCCTCACAGAGGCTGCGCCGCCGCAGCCAGGTGYGAAGGGAGCAAGGAGAGAGGTGACAGAGAAGCCAACTGCTGGGTCTGCCCCATAGCTGCACCAACCAGCTGCCGGCTTCAGTAAGGTCTCCCTGCAACTTTACGGGACAGGGTTTGCAATGCTGTGCCCAGACGGAGCTGGAACAGGGCAGCTCACAGACCTGCCCCGTGCTGGGCTGCATCCTGCAGATGCACCGTGCAGAGGGAAGGGAACTTCAGCACGGAAACGCCGAAGGGAAACCCGCACAACTAGAGGGGACCAAGGGACGGAGCCCCGCGCGGCTGGTGGCGCCCGGCGCGGGGGTCGCGGCCCTTCCCGCCGCCCGCACCTGCCCGCCCAGGGCAGCGCCCCCGCCGCGCGCTGCGGCGCGGCCCGGCTGCCCCGCGGCTACTCACGTAGTGCTTGGAGGGGCTGCGCCGCTTCTCCACGTCCACCACGGTGGCGTCGAGCACGCTGTAGGACAGCATGTCGGCGGCTGCCCGCGGCCCGCTGCGCTGCGCTCCGCCGCGGTGCCGGCCGGCGCGGGGGGCGGCTCGCGGCCCCGGCCCGGCTGCGGCTCCGCCCCGCGGCTCCCCCTCGCGCCGGCTCCGCGCCCTGCCCGCTGCCTCCGGCTGCGCGCCGAGTGCGGCGGCGGCAGCGGGCGGGAGGACGGCAGGGAAGAAGGGGCCGGCGCCGCCGCCGTCCCCGCCCCCGGGCGGCCCGGGGGGCGCGGAGCCGCCGCGGGACGGGACGGGACGGGGAGCGCCGGGCGCCGCCCCTGGCCGGGGGGACCGCGCTCGGCCCGACATGGCGGCGGCGCCGAGCGGGGCGCGAGGGCCCTGGCGCTGAGGGGAGCCGAGCGGCAGCGGGGCCGGCAGCGGCGCGAGGCCCCCCCGCTGCCGCTGCCCTTGCGCAGTGTCCCCACTGTCCTCCCCACGCACCCGTGGCCAGGGCACACGCGGCGCTCGAGGCCGCCTGTACCCTCAGGAACGGCCACGATCCCTCCATCCCTTGTCCTCTCAGGGACGGCCACGATCCCTCCATCCCCTTGTCCTCTCAGGGATGGCCAAGATCCCTCCATCCCTTAGCCCTCTCAGGGAAGGCCACGATTCCTCCATCCCTTTGTCCTCTCAGGGACGGCCACGATTCCTCCATCCCTTTGTCCTCTCAGGGATGGCCACGATCCTTCCATCCCTTTGTCCTCTCAGGAACGGCCATGATTCCTCTATCCCTTTGTCCTCTCAGGAACAGCCACGATTCCTCCATCCCTTACCTAGCGTGAAGCCACAAGAGTGGCCAGGCCCGCACAAACCGTCCATCTGAGCGGTTTGTCACCGTGCAAGCCCCAGTTCAGTTCTCCATCTACACACAGGTACCTAGGAACTGGCCCTGCGCCCTCACACTTCAAAACCAGCCTGCCCTAGAAATCAGGCTGCTTTTATCCAGGCACGTCTCCCACCTTCACACGGTTGTCTGAGAGGCTCTTGTCTCCAGAAAGCAAGCCTGGGCAGGGCTGCCCAGCCCGCCAGCTTTATGAAGGTCATTAGCAACTCTGCACAGTAACTGAGGGCACAAAGATTTCTAAATATTCCACTGGCTCAAGGGCCCTTCAACAGCAGCCCAAGCCCTTTCTCAATAAGCTTCCAGAGGGCCCCTGATGACCACAGAGCTGCTATAGCCCAGACACTTAGAAAACTCCCAGATCCTGGGGAAAAAGCATTGTTCATCCCCACATGATTTCTTTTTACTATGAGCAAATTTTACCAGCTCTTCAGTAACAGTTGTAAAGCATTAGGATAGACATTGGAATTAAAGACCCATAGATGGGGTAGCCTACAGGTTGACTCCTGGAAACAAGGAAGCTCCAAGCTGGTTTCTACAGGCAGTTTATAAAGGAAACAAAGGCATCAGCACATGGTGCAGGCTGCTGCCAGGTGGCATCTAGGCAAGTGCTGTGTAATGCAGCCACACACACAGAGAAAGATACCCCKATCCAGTTACCATGGGCCCCAGAAGATCCTGCCAGAAGCAGGTCCTCAACATTATTGGCACTGTAAGTATTTACAGTATATACTGTAAGTACTGCAAAGAATTTATGTTCTTTATAGCAGGTGGAAACAGAAAAGCCCACTTGCAATCGCTCCTCTCGCCCTGCGAGCAGCTGCTAGGTTATCTGAGCTGGAGAAGGATTTGGGTTGTGCCTTCTGCTCCTCCAGGCTCCATATACCAGAACACACACCAAGCTAGYGAGCTGCCAGAAAACAGCAGAATTCCAGCTCCCATCCCAGGATGGGCTGGCAAGGGGGAGACCGACTTCTGTTAATGGGAAAAGGYGCAGCGGGGAAAGCTCGTGCGCCCGACTGCGTGGGTGCTTCTCGGGTTCACCTCTTCCCTCCACTTCTCAGAGGGACTTCTCACCTCTAAACCTCATCRTGCTTGACACAAGGCAGTGTGGCAATAACCAACACTGGGAACAATTTCTGTTTAGACTGGTCAGGGAGAGCCTGCTGGGCAGAGCAAACAGAAAATTCTTCTCTGAAAACAGAAAATATTCAAATAACCTATTGAGAAAAATACGCCTGACCTCCAGTCTTGGATACCTCCTTCCTGTGACCCAGTAGAAACATTTAACCGGAGCTACATACAAACCTCTTCTATCATCTGTCCAATAAATAAATAAAAGCTCCTCCCAACATCTTGTGTTTGGTTTTAGTCAACTTACAAGGTATGTAATTGTAAAGGAAACACACACACACACACACATATATATAACGATCCAAACACTGCCCTGCCTTTCCTGCCATTCCTGTCAATTGGCATCTTTCTACAGTAGTCTTATCTACCTCTCTGCAAGGAAGGAGCTTTATTTTTAGTCCAGCCTGGCACTGCTGCTTTGGGTTTGTGCTCCCTTGGTGCCTTCCCCGCTCTGTCATGTTATCTGGCCCCTAAGTCACCTCTCCTCTGCTCAAGACAATTAACCCTAAATCTCCACCACTCTGCACAATGTGGTCTAGCTGCAGTCTACTCAGCTGTTGTACAGACCTGGTCCTGCTCTTCCATCACCTGCTGAGCTAACTGAGCACCCTTGACTTCACACTGCCTGTCTGTTCCATCCTTCCCTCCAGGAACAATGTATTTTGCTAGGGTCATGGGCTCTTTTTATAAATAAGTACAATACCCAGGCTAGTGGGAGCTTGATCCCAGACTATTGCAAGACCAGCAGAAAATAACTGGAACCCCTCACACTGAAGGCTTGGGAAAACCTGCACCTCTCAGGCAGCAGCTGGGAAAACGGAGCTGCTGGTGCCAGCCCARCCCCTGTGCTGCGGACCGAGCTCAAGATGCTGGGGCTCAGGAAACCCAGAGCGGGCAGCTCGGAGCCCGGCAGCCTCCTGGGGTAACTGACCCCCATGGGTGCAGGGCCTGCGCTTGGCTGGGCCCGTGAGCACCCAGGACAGGACACTGCGAGCTCCAGGAAAAACACGATTCTGGGGGCTTTATTCTCTATCTTCTAGTATTTATATTCTTTTTTTTTCTTAAAGTCTCAATTACTGAAGCCTTATCATAGAATACCTCTACTGTTATTAATAAATTAAAAATATTAATAACGCTATTAACATTAATTTAATTATTAATCTTTGCAAACTCAAGATTTCAATAAAATTAACGTGAGGAGCTCCTCAGGAAATTCAGAGCTTTGAAAACTCAGATAAAAAACTATTTTTAAACAGCTATTTTTTCTACTTATTTGCAGGTCTTTGGGCAAGGAGTTATTTTATTGACCAAGCAGGTAATAAGATTGGCCTTGCAGCTCTAATATAGCTACTGCCAGCGACCTAAGTTCTGCTCCAATTACAGCAGAGAGTCATGCGTGACAATGTGTGCGACAGTCTCAGAACTGGAACACGACTTGAGCTTGAGAGGATTTTGTCATGCTGACTGTTTTCGTAAACAGGCATTTCAGTTGTAAATTGAAAACACTTGGATCATGAAATCAGTGAGAAAACAAAACAAGSGACAGACTTTTCTGTGCTCCATTAGGCCCATTTTTACTGTCTCTTATTAATTCATGGCACATCACTGCAGATAAGTGAAATCCCCTGAATATTCACCAGCGCATTATAGCCCAAGAACTCATTCTGTAGTGGCTCAAGTTGCTCTTTTAAGGTAGCCTTTCCTTTTTCCCTTCCCTTTTCCATTCGCCAGAGCAGGGCAGCTCAGTCTGTCCTGGAGACCAGCCCTGGGGTTTTCCATGTCTTGCTGTGCCGAGGGCTCCGGGAGCCTGGCCGCAGCGGGCAGGGGAGGTCTCAGTGCGGTGCATGACAGATTAGGCACCCAGCTCGTTCCTGCAACCAGAGCTACATAATYTGCTGGGATGGGCCCTGAAGGGCTTGCTGGGCTCTGATGCACAGCGCAACACGGAGCCTTTGTTACACTCACATCAGGGCCACTGTACTCACTAAAGCCCAGCGTCTTAAAAAGAGCTGCTTCCCGCCCAGGGATTCCACCTCGCAGTCTCCATATAGATGTCCTTTGATACGAGTGATAGGAACTGTAGAGCTTATCTGTCGTTCAAATCTCCAAAGCTGAAACATAAAGCAAAACACAACCRTCTTTCCCTTTTTTTCAAGGCCAAATTACGTCTCAGCCTCTCGGGAAGCTACTGCTCTTGAAATGAAATTCACACCAGGGATAAAGCGGTAGAAGGGAGGCAAAGGAACGAGCTGTGGTCCCCACAGAGCAGTCCCCTAAGCACAGCAGCAGCTTCCTCCCCACCAGCCTCCAGCTCCCCAAAGAGCATCGCTCCACCAGCCCCTCTGCACTACCCACTGTAACAGAAAAATCAAAATCCTTATTTTCCCTGCTAGCAGCATAATGCCTTCCTAACAGCATCTAGCTACACTGTAAAAGAGATGCTTCACTCTCTTCAGTTAAATTGTAGGTTATCCTGTAGATAGCTTAGAATTTAATCTTTTCATGACTGTGGTTATTTTTTCAGGCCTTTCACACAGGAGTTATGGATAACGTGCATGTGCATGTTCTGTTTAGGATAGCAGTAGCAAATTGCAGACTGTTTTCCATCCAAGTACACCTTGTTCTTTTCCATTGTTATAGAGGCTTTGTGGATATTTGATGATATTGTTAAAAAATAAAACATAGCAAACCCAAACCACACTTTCCTGTGTGCATAATATAAATATCAGGCATATGTTTGGGACAGCTGAAGCTTATCAAATGARTCACAGGTTTGGCTTAAGATTCCCCTGGTTACTTCACAGATGCTGTCATTGATTTAGGTCTCCCCAAAGAGGACATTTTGATAACAGCTCCTGCCTCACTCACTACACGATATTTGGAAATCTGTTGTTGAAAATGCAGGCTTGTTACAAATGAAGTAAATGTTGGAAGTAGTTGTCTTCCTATGCATTTTCTTCCTATGGTACCTCTAAGTATATAATGGGACACTGAACCGTCCATACTATCAGATTTAGAATCCCCGCCAAGTCCCTTTCAGGCTCCAGTTTCCCTGATCATTATTTTCACTCATTCAATCCCTTCTGAAACTGAACAGTAATTTCATTTGCTTGCACCTCCCCTGTAGAAGGCCATAGAGCCTAACTGCCAATATCCAACCTAGAATATTTGACAGGTAGACTGTGAATTGCAAAAATCTATTGATAAAACCTATGGAAAAGTCGGTCACACAACTGCAGTTGTGCCACAGATGACAAAAGCACAAGCTCAACAGCATAAAAAATCTGCAGCTCCTGCTACTCAGCAGTGAACTGCATTGTTATTTTTTTCCCCCTTTTAAATTACCTTCATGCAAAAGCAAAGTGGATTTCCCAACATGGAGAAGTTTCTTTAAGAGCAGGGCTTTTGGACCTCCTCAGAGCAACATCATCCCAGAGGCAGATACAAGTAGGGCTTTTTTCCTTCAGTCATCCCCAGGTTAGACTCTGCTATCACTAATGGTATCTGGAAAACCAAATACCATGGAGGATATTTATTGCTTGGAAAAAGAATGAGATCATCCAAAAGCAGAGAAGTTCTCATGGAAAGCAGAGCTATAGTTTCTCTGGCAGGGCTGCTGTAGCAGTGCTGTTCAGCTTGGAGCACTGCCACTGCCTGCTATACTGTCCAGTTAATTCCAGTCATTTTTTTGGATCCATCCCATAAGCTTGCGTTGAGCCATGGCCATGCAGCCCCAAGATGAAACCTTAAAGACCATTTCACTGACCAGAGCCTTTCTCAACCTCCTGTAAAGTGGCTTTTCTCCTCTGCAGGACAGTCTCTAAAAGGCAGCTGAACACACATAGAGCCCCCAGGAGACAAGAGCAACTTCTCCCCCCAGGGTAATTTCCTTCAGTTAGTGATATAGCATCCAGGCAAGAAGAGAAAATATCCCAAGTCTGCACAAAATCCCCTTTGAAGTTTATTTAAAGCACTGAGCTTCAGGTTTCATTCAGAGCAGCACCTTCAAAGCTCTCGTACTCCTCAAGGAGGAGCATTTCTGCAATTTTTGCCTTCCCAAAAGCAGGGGACACACTCCCTGTGCACTCCAAAGCTGTAGCACGTCTTTGCAGAAAAAAAGTCTCCATCACACTTCATTATAGAGAGCAGCACGAGTATGCTCACGGTTTTCCCCTCATAAAATACCAAGCAGTACTTGCTTCCAGAAGCCATTACATTATCCTGGAAACATTGATCCTCAAAGACACGTTGGTGGCCAACTCTTATTTAACACCTAACTGTGAGCATCTGCACCACTCCTTTAACAAAGGCAAAATACCCTGCAGAACAGAGGAACCGCTAAGGGACAGTATAAGGAAGAGCATATAAATTACATTGTTATAAATTACATTGTATATAAATCTGTCCATGTGTTTATGATAAATGTTCTTTTACTCTTTCTTTTTCTTGTTCTCATTTCCTCCCTGCTTTCTAATTGCAGAAAATAAAATAGTACAAGTTCTTGCTTTCATTATATGCTACACCTGCTGCCTGTCCTGAAACAGATGTCTGGAGCATCATTAGCCAATTATTTCTAAGCTTTTGTCAACAGGACTAATTTCAAACATCTTTCTGTTAAATCCTCCTTTCTGCTTCCTCTGTATTTCTCTTCCTTTCCTACAACCATAGCTCCAGCAAAAACTCCTCTATATCAGTTTGCTCCCGTTATGTTTGTCCTGGATCACTGAGCTCGCACAAGAACAAAGAGGGGKATTATAACTACTTTGAAGCAGGAGTCAAGTTTAAAAGACATCATGGATGGGGAGAAGGAGGAGGACAAGGTGAGGGAAGAAAATAAGAATATTTGTCAGCAGTGGGGGCTGACAACACCAGCTCGCTTTTTATGGTTCAGGATTTTGGGGACATCACCACAAAGGAGCGTTTCACGGGCCCGCAAGGACAACTCCTACACTCTCACTGTGAATGASATTTTTGACAACAGGAGAAGAGCCCAATTCCAAGCACCTTCTTCATCTCCTTAACACCTACATAGGCAGCCAAGAAAAGCAGGCTTGGAAAGCGAGCGAGCCTGCGAGGCAGGGATGATGCCGTTGTTGAGGGAGGCATTTGCAGGAACTGATTTCTGCCTCTTATTTACAAATTACACCTTCATAYTTGGAAAAAGCCTCTACTTTGGGAGGAACTGTGAATTGCCCAGGCCAGAAACAGGCTTCATGTAATCACATGGACTGTTAGTGCAGTGACATATATATTTATGGTTTATCTTACYTTGTCCACAGCAGGGGTGGAAGACTTTCCTCTCCTTTTTCATGGGACAAAAAAAAMCCCAAAATGACCTAAAAGCTATGTCTCCATTTAAATATTCTGTGCACACAGTGGCTTATCTCCAGGCATTCCTCCAGTTTTCAAGTAAGAAAATGAGATGCTCTGGCTTTTACACACCAGCCGATCCCCAGCTTGCTCATCCCTGGCTAAGCTGGCAGAAAGTTCCACTTGTAACTGGTAGAAAAGGAGGGTTCATTTTTGCGATCAATAACAAAAAAAAAAAAAAAAAAAACAGGCTGAAACAAGAGCTTTAGGACATGTTGTGCCAGGTTAATTGGCACCACAGTGTTCAGCATTCAGCGCTTGCTGAAAATTGTTCCTTTAGGTTATTTCTTTCACTAGTAAATTCCTGGCTATATTCAGGCACTCTCATTAATCTGGGCTGGTTTCAGCTTGTAAGTTACTGTAACTAGATTAGTGTAGTCCCCATTGCATGCTTAAGAGATGTTCCTGGGGAAGGGTTGGCATCCCTGACAATCCGTTTCTCAGCGCTGTACCTGGACGGGGAGGCTGTATCCTTACCAGATTCTACCAGTTTAATTCAGTTTCCCCTCATCYGTGTCGGCTCCACTGAGAAACTTCAGCAAACAATAATTGTTTCTCCAAAGAGCCTTGCAGAAGTAGAAGCTCTTATGGTTATAAAAAAGATACAGACGCAGGTTTCTCGGGGSTGTCTTGTGCAAGGTGTCTCAACTGGTGCACGACTGAGTTTGTTCTTTCCCCTCAACAGGGGCCCTCATTTGGGCCTCCCTCATCTGCTGGTGCATCTGTCTCAGGAAGCCCAGAGGACTGTAGCACCTCAGGCTTCTTGGCCACTCGTAGAACAACTGGCCAACAAATTACAAAGTCACGTGCAATGGTGGGAGGAGGTTGACATGTACCCACACACAAACTACAATCATATCACTGTAATTTTCTTAGTATATCTACTTTCAGCCTGATATTTTAACTAGCAGACAAATGAAAAGTCTGCAGCAACTGCCAGCTTCACTAATCCTGCCTGTGATGAAATCTGAGCAAGGATCTGAAAGTGGCAGGGAGAGGCAGGTGGCTTCTGTTGAGGGTGCGGCTGGTGCTCGCTCAGGTTTTGGCAAGATGCAAATATTTGAATTTTTAATCTCACACTTGGACCCCTGCTAGAACCTGCACCTAGGAGTTCTGAGAAACAACAATTACAGGAGAGAGAGTATGGAGCACATACACAAAAATGTACCTGTCATGCAATTTCTAGTTGCTATACTGCAACTAGAGGATGGTAACCAATTACTGTTGTACTTATTCCTTTATCTCACATGGCTAAACTTTTATTGCCCACTAGCCTCCAGGCTGGGAGAGGAAGGGTGGAGACCTGACGGGAAGAAAGGGAAACACAGCACCGCGCTGGCAGGAAGCTTCAAAATGCAGGTTGTCCCCAAGACCTGAACTTGCTCCCTTTCAATTTAGAGGTAAGGACATAGATAGAATTACTTCTAGCCACAAAATCTTTTTCCTACARGGCTGTTAACCCTCAAAGTAAACCAAACAACAGTTTGCAGCAGGTTTGCAACAGTTTGCAGCAAGCAGGTTTGCAATACGTTGTCGCATAGTTATCCACGTGGCTCCATACCCCACAGGCTGCTTGCTGAATTCCCATGCTAAATAGTAAATGAGCAACTTCTATTTTTGGCGTTCAACTTTGGAATAAACAAGCATGAACAGATCCACAAAATGGACAGCTTAAGGTCACATAGCCAAATTTAATCTTTTTTTCATATATTACTTTAGTAAATTTTTTTTTTTCCCCAGATGTTTGTGTAATACACATACACAAGCTTACAATGCAAAATCTGAGAACTCAAACACTCAGGAATCATTGATCCAGATTTCTGTTTTTAAGAAATCATTATTTGTATTACAGACAGATCTCAAGAGCTTTGAATGATAAAAGTTAGCAAAAACTGGGAATTACACCCTACACATAAGGAATTGCTTTATCCTTCTATTTACAACAGAGAGAAACTGCAGCATGAAGCAGCCTCCCCTCTTTTCCCATTTGAGCAGAGCTGGTGGGACTGAGGGTAGAGTTGTTCTTCCCTTTGTTTCCTTTGCAGAAAAGCAAACACCTTTCTGTGGCATTAGTAGCATTAAATGTAGAATATTAAGAACCTTTAGTAATTTTTATTCTCAATTTCTATGGAAACAGACCTTTTAAGATAACGTACAAACGTTGCCTGCTTTAAGGACTCCATTTACTTACCTTACTTGCTTTTTACTGCCATAACTGTTCCTATGGAAACCAGAACTGGCCATGTCACAGTCCTACAGCATGAATTCTCACTTGTCAATTTTACATTAAAGTGCCACCTTCAAAGTCCTTTCATAAACCAGGAATGATTGTGTTGCTCTGAGAGYTTTTAATTCAAAAGCGTGTGCTTTCCCTAAATGCTCCACACAATATTTTTAAGGTGTGGTCTTAGTCTAAGAATTTTAACTGTGTGCATGATACGACTCTTTTGGTTAAGGATATAATCTTGAAACAGAGAGACAGTTTATTAGCAGTAAAAGCCCTAGTGTGTGTAGTTAGACTTGCATAAAGGTGACTTATACCAACATGGGTATGTCTAGACTGCTGTCACAGAAGCACACTGTAGAGATACTGAGTAAATGGGTAAAATCAAGCTACTTACTGTGCTCCCCAGCTAGCTGGGTTACTGCTGGGCAGGCATGTGCCTGTGCTGTTCCCTGTAGGTACAAGACGGGGAATGCACTGGATTAGAGCAAGCGGTAGCCTGTGCTGGGTGACTACTGTGGAAAAAATAGAGCACGTTTCAGGCACAGAACTGGAATTAGGCTGCACAGAACTGGAATTAGGCTAGTTCAAATCTAGGCTCCTCCATTAATTTTACCTTAATCTTTAATGCACATAGAAACTGTAAATTCCCTGGCACTTATTAACGTTGTTTCCCTAATTCAAGGTAATTCAAGTGAGAAGAATCTTTTCATGTTCCTGGGGAGCAATCTCCAACAGGAAGCACCATTCACCTCCTAAGACCCTTGCATTGCTGCAGAGATCAGCTTAAATAACTGTCAAAACCAGGTTCTTTCCAGAAAGTTTTAGACACACTTTATGTATAGATCAAAATAGCAGAAGGTACAGAGTCTAGATTGGAGGCAACAGAAGAAATCAGATGCTGCAGGCATAACTATACAAGCTGCCAGGGACCAAAATATAATCCTATTTTGGCATGATTGTGTTTTAACTTATTTTAAAGAGACCCCAAAGAGCAACACCATCAAGACCATCTTTCCCTCCAAGACTCAGCCACACAGAGCTCCTCCCCAGAATTCATCCAGCCCACACACTTGTCTGCTACCCCCAGGAGAACCAGGGCCTTCCTCTCTTCTAAGCTAGATCACCTTTCTTAGGGAGTTTGCAGGATTCACTTAACCCTTTCCCAGTAAAGTCAACTTCTGCTAACAGAGCAGAACCTYTCAAAAATGGCCAGCTGAACATCTCAAGTTAAGCACAGTCAGTTATTGGCACATCCCTACTTATCCAGGGCAATTCATACTTTCCCTTTGGACTATCCCTAAACTCACGTCCTTGTCCATAACCAAATGGTAATACATGGTTAATTCTTGGAATGAGTCTAAATCTTAAAAATGGGAATCGATATCCCAAATTTCTCCCATGGGCAGCCTTTGTCTTAAAGCAACACTTCAAGCTGATCAGTATCAGAGCAGGAATCTGAAAGGAAATATCCCTTGTGACAGTATGACTAGCCAGACCTTTGGTAGGTGTAATTTATAGTTCCCCATCTTCCTACTCAGAACACGGACTTCTTTCTYTGCTTTCTAGAGCCATTCACAGAAAGTCTTCTACCACGTTTTTTTAATTCCTATCTCCTCTGTCTATAGAATACAYAGTACTTAACTCTAAACACAGCGGCAGTGCTAGAAATAACGGCAACCTGTCAACCTGAGTCCTGWAGCAAGCAGAAAAATTAAAGTGAAAGAATGGCTTACACCTAGTTTTACACCATGGACAAATGCACCACCTTTTTAAGGCTGGAGTTTTCCACGGGCCTCTCAAGGCAAATGCCAAATACTTCGTCATGCCGTTCTCTTAGCCTGTATCTCACTGCAGCCATGGCTTGGAACGAGGCACGTAATATAACATCATACCAGAGACCTGGCACATGTGGGGCTACTCGCTGGCTTTCCTCATGCAGATGGTTTATTTTTACCTGCTCTGTCAGTCCTTATAGGGCTTTACCACTAGCTCTGCCTCCTGGGAGTCTGCGATTTCAGCAGTTCTGGGGAAGGAGCAGAGYAAAGAGGAAGGACACATTAAATCTTTTCTACTCTTTTCCAGTTAAAGCTATCACTTTCGCATCATTAATTAAACAGATTACTTGGACAAGACCCTGCAGCAGAGAAGCTTTAAGCATAAATACAGAACAGCTCCAGGCTTTGAACTCTGGCACAYAGGAGAGTTCTGATGAATCCTGCACGTCCCGCATCTTAACTTTCTCTAAGGCCAATGCTCTTTCATCAGTGTCTTTCAGCTGGCACACATATACAGASAGTGATATGGATAGTGTTTTCCCCAAAAGCCACAAAGGAGGGGAAGACACACAAAAAAAACCTACATCACACTGAGATTACAGTGGGTCTTGCTGACTTTGGTATTTTCATCATAGCAGCAGACTTAGGGCTCACCATTTGTGGTGTAGGAAGCAATTTAAAAATAAACAGCAAAACAATGGCTSGTTTGTGAGACTTCTGGTCTGAACAAAACCCACAACAACATGCATCAGTAGAGCCTACTGTAGTTAAGGGAATCCAAACATGCCTTGCAAGCAGTGGGCAAACCGTAGGATGGGATGCATTCCTGAACATTATTTTGCTGAAGGTGGCAGCTGCTTTAGTTGTGGGATCACAGTGCACTCAGGAAACATACATACATACACAGTATGCCAACACTGCAAAAAAAGCCAGGCAAATACATCCGATTGTTTGCTTGCAGGTATTTCTCCAGTTGTTATTAAGCATATATAAAAGATGCACAGATATCACACCACCTGGAAGGTCACAAGATCAGTCCTTAAGCCAGCAAGTCCTGATGTGACCACACTGTAAAACGTGCTCCTTTTAGAAGTACTGACTTCTCTTTGGATGTAAACGTGAGGAGGGCCACATCACACCTTATTGCTAGTTAGGGAAGAACATGCACACAAGGAAGAAGCCCAACTTCCCAGCTCCCCTGTTGCACKATTCCCAGGACTAGTTTGATACAAGTTTCTAGGAATATAAGTCTGCAAAAATTTTAAGACAAAGTATTTGGATAACTCCTCTCAGAAGGTGAACAAAAGTAGCCTTTGAAGAATCAGAATCCTATTCCTTTCATCTAGATTACATTAGGTAACAGCAGCTTTTCTGAGTTAGACTCCTTCTCAACCGCTTCATCTTCCTGACTTTACCCTGAGCAGCCCAGCAACTAACGTATGTTATTGTCCCTCTTCAAAAGGTCGTGTAGTATCCCTCCATCGTGCTGATAACATCGCTGTTACTCTCCAGCAGCTCCAGGACACGGTGCATCACTGCTTCAGACAGACAGGGATGGTAGCTCTGCCGCACGCAGCTCAGGACGTGCAGGAAGTGACAGCCTTTCTCAGCATCTGCAGAAACAAGGGAAAATGCAGCCACACTTGGAGGAAGGACCCCAGCCTCTAACTGCTGCCTATTAACTGTTGTAACTGGGATACAAAAGCAGATCACCTGGACATTAGAACAGAGATAAGGGATCCAACTCTGCATTCACAGTTCTCCAGTTACCAAATGCTCCCATTGATCATGCTAAAAATTGCCAAGGTTGCAACCCTAGCCATGACCACGAATAATCACCAGCCTTCTAGTATACAGGGCTCATCCTGTACAGGTTGATGAAGATAGTGACTTAAGGACTTAAATAACTCCCACTGTTCCTCTGCTACAAGCTGCCCTGTTGCTGCAACTACAATTTATTCAGAAGCAAAAATAACACGTGAAAATCCTTTTATCCACACCTGGCTTCAAAAATGCCTAGGATACAAGGGAGGCAGTGGCCAGTGGTGACTGCTTGCCCAATGCTGGCACCTTGTGGCCTAACTGGCACAGTGCAACTTGCATTCACTTGGCAATGCAGTCTGAGGCAATTCATTACTGGTCACAGAAGGACATGAAATTCAGTACTAAATTCAATCTCCTTTTAAGAGGAATGAACTCTGAAAATACAAGAGAACAAGAATGTGAAGATAGTCCCCYTTCCTGGAGGGCAAGGCAGAGAGGGGTCCTTACAGGCTGCAATCCTGTACATGGCTGCTCCATCCTCCCCTTGATTCAGGAGGCTCCCTGGCAGAGCCAGGAGCTGCAGCCTACCTGGCCCTGGCAGCAGTTTCCCCCTGCAGCCGCCACGAACCCGCTCGTTACCATGAGCAGCCCCCCAGCCTCCCCAGTGCTGAGCTCTGTAAGCAGAGATTTCTCTTCCTCCATGCCTACGAATGGAAGCATCACACGGATGAGGCCKGCAGCACACATGACTCTCTTCACCCTCTGCTCACATGATAAAAGAGATATTTGATAAAGGTACTGAGAAATCTGCATGAAGGTCTAGGGCCAGGGAGGTCTGCGGCTTTTGTTTTTGCCCTTTTTGTTTCATTTTAGTGAATTCCGGGGCCCCAAACAGCCCTAGAAGTTTCTGAGAAAAGTCATTGGTAGAGATACGGAGGCACTAGGAGTTGGCAAATACACAGTTTGGGAGGAACTGCACAGTGTTTCAAGCTAATAATTTCTTCTCCACATTTCTTTCACCAGGCCGTGGTATGCTGTAATGAAAGGTCTCGGTGGCCAGTAGCTAGTAGACCACTGTCCTAGAAGGGATAAGCACAGAACAGAGCGCTGCCTCTCCATGGTTACCTGCTTTAACAAAAGCAGGTAGCTGCATTTTGCATTAGTCATAGGTTTGTCATAACAAAGYCAGACTTCCCATCCCTGACCCATAGTAACTTAGCTTAAGCCACAAAGAATTAARTATAGTGACTCAGGTATTACTCAACACCAGAGAGCAGAGCCTTTTCCTAGATGCTGGTGGGAAATGGCATTTTGGAGCAGCTGCAGGTATCCAGGTATCCCAGAAATACTCCTGGGCTACTCCTAGAAACTCCCCACCACCTTTGAGGGGACATAGCCCTCTCAGCAAAAGATAATAAAATGATGCTGTCCTAAAAATGTCTTTGTTTTTAACATATTGGGATTTGGATCCTATCTCCTGAAGAAAGGCAGGCTCTGATTAATTTTCTTGCCCGATTTCCAACATTAAATAAGACAYGAGTTCTATATTCATGGGCACTTGGCACAAGGCTATGTTTGGGACATGTTAAATGTAACTTTAAATGTTTCTGTTTTTATTGTCTCAATATTAGCCTCACCTGAGTCTAGAAACAGAACCAATATGACACAAAAAGAAACAGAACTAGATTAAGTCTCTCATTTTACAGKTCAGCCTGGAATCAGACTGCATCATCCTCCCCAGTTGTCTTGAATCTCCAGACACGTTCAGAACGGCCTCACATACGGGCTTTGAAGATCATTTTATTTGGAAATAGCTAGAACCATAGGCTAGCATTGCCATGTAGGCATATTATTGACCAGGTTTTGTGAAGCTTTGACTAGTTGTGTTGAAACTATTTTTTAATATATATACACATATATATGTACATATACATATGCACGTATATATGTACAGGAGTTCCAGACAGCTGGGTTGGGTCTCAGAATGCGTCACAACTGAAACAATGGGGTGAGGCTCTGCCTTGAAAGCCAGTAAAGATGCAACTGATTGGACAGAAGAGGTTGGTTTTATCGCAAACCAGTCTTCCTGTCATGGCAGATTAATACTGCTCTTGATGGAAAAGGGCAAGAACTCGATGTGTTGGCACGTTCATATTTCCTCACTAAGAGCCTGCTCATCAGCCCAGGCCAAGCAGCTGGTTAACACTGCATCTGCCCGCTAGAGGGGGACCAACGGATAGACTAGAGCTCACTCTTGCATTGAGTGATGATAAAAACATCCTGTTGATTTTGATTCGAGTCTTTGGATCTTTTTTCCAGAGTTTCAACTTTTCCAGGTGATGACATTGAAATTTTCTATTATTAATGACCAGAATACCGAAAGAGTCTTCCTGAAAGTCAACAGAGAAAGAGAGACTGATTTGGAAACTGTGCTCCTTACAGGTAGTAACCGTGTGCAGATGGARAGCTTCACAGAGAACAAGGGGTTCTGCAATGCAGTTAATATTTGTTCATATTTGGTCAGTATGGCTTTGAGGCCTCAGGAATCTGTAAAGCCCCAATTTTTCTGACATAACTCCTTTTATTGACTGGAGGAATCTCCCAATATCTCCTGAAGCGCTATAAGGACTTCAGCAGCCCCCTGCTGAAGGGAGTGCTATAATATTACAGTATACGGCTACAAGCAGACTGGAGATTATATATCATGAATTCTAGGCAGTCATTTATTCTGCACTACAGTGTGCTCCATCCCACAAACAGCTGCACTCCAGCAGCAAGTGATCCCTGCTGTCACATTCTGCCCAGTGAATTGAAAAAAAACTCTGTAGCACTTTGAGTGTAATTAGTAGACATCCAAGTCAAGCACAAGCTATCACTACCATAATAAAATACAACGCATGAGGGACAGGGATAACTTGGAAGCTATGTAAAGTGTATGTCTTTCATATGGACTGAAAATCCCTACTTACCTCTCTCTCACGCTCACAAGAATATATTACTCCTCCTTTTAGCTACACTGATTAGCTTCACCAGCAACTGAGCCCTGAGTTCAGGGGKAAGGACAAGAATTGCATCTAACCCAGCAGCTGGAGGAGATACTGCCATCAATGTGAGCACAGCTCGTGAGGGGCCTGATTGCACTGCTACTTACGCCTGGGTTTTCGACAGTCTTCCTTGATCACATCTAGGGTCAGTTTAAGCAGCTCCTTATCGTGGTCAGTCACCTAGAAGAAACAAAAGAAAAGGGCAGTTTATAGCAGTCTATTTTGCAGTAGAGAGCAGGGCTGTTAAGAAACAATCCAAAGCCATGATGCATTCTAAACCAACACTGTCATAACTGTGAATTGCATGCTTTAGTTACTCCAAAATTAATGACAAACGTAAAATCTTTGATTTTTTAGTAATTTTAGCAGCATTCATGACTGAGGTGAAGAATATGATTTATTAGAAACAATCCTAGAAGACAGCGAGTCAGCAGAAAACCAAATTTCAACYTACTCCTGATAAAAAAAGAGAACTGTCCCAGGTCCCAGACTTCAGCGTGCACTGATGTGTCAGTGCACAATTTTGCACCTGGAATTGTAGCAGCGATGGAGACTAGCACTGACTCGCAAAAAACAAAGAAACAAAAATCCCCAGCAACTTGGTGGGTTTTGTAAGAGGTAGAAGGGAAGCATGCAGCAGATAAACCTTCTGAATAAACAGAGAGTATGCAGAAGCCCAGCAACCCCTTCCAAAATGTTTCTACTAAGACCACAACACAGGTTCCCACAGAACAGGTTTGCAATAACAGCTCAGTTCCTTACGTGGTATAAGTCCTTGGAGCTACTAGGTTTATGGAAAACCACTCCTTTTTCTTGCAGCATCCTTACTGCTTCCTTAAAAATACTGTGAATCCGTTTTGAGCTTGGGTCACTTTTTGAATCCACCTGCATGGGGAGAGAAAAAAAAAAGAAATTAAGTGGTGAGAAACCTCAGCCATACTAGAGCTGACAGCAAAAATTCCAGGCGGTTTCAAGAGGAAGAAGAATTCAGATGATTTTGTTAAAATGATCTATGAATTATTAAATGAAACAAAATGCATCTGTTGTGTATAACCTAACCAACATCTCAGGCTTTAAAGCAGTATCAGAAGGATCTTTCTTAACAATAGCAAGATCTCCTAACCGCCTTTATTGCATACAGTAACTACTTGATTACATACTGAGAATTCTCTTCCTTTGGAATAGCCTTTACAGGGCATATGGCAGGAGATTGGAATATAAGTGCTTTGTAAGATAACATTCAAGAATTCAAGCACTGGGGATTGGATTTCAATCTCAATTGAAACTGAGGCACTGCTCTAGGAAAGGAGGAAACTAGTAATATTTTAGGCAAGAACAATATTTATTTTCTGTCTCCCATTTTACTCACATTTTGGTCATGCTCTCAAGAACTCTGTGGTGGAAAGAAAAAGGCAAAAGGCAGAGGATAAAGAATACTCAAGAAATGAAGACAGACACAGGAAAATCATCTTTGAGAGAAGATAGTAGTGAGAAAAAAAAAGAATAAGTTTTGTGGGTAGGTAGGATGTAAAAGCCTCTTGTGGAAGAGCAGCATGTCTGAAAGTCTGGAACCAAGAAGGGGATTTAGAACAAAAGGTTCTGTGGCCAGGACACAGCTAAGATACTGGGTAACAGCAGCAGAAGCAAGAAAGGGGAAGAAGGGGAAGGGGAGAGGAAAAAAAAAAAAAAAAAGATGGGTTTGTTTTAAAGTAGAGCAGAGCTAAGAATGTAGGAGAATAACAACTAGTGAAGTAGAAGAGTGGAAGTCCATAAAGAATCAACTGTGGACAGGATAAAGCACAGTAGGTAAAAGCAAGACTATGACCTGCTCCGCAAAAACCTCTCTCTACTGACTACGTCCTTTAGCCTTCATTTACCTGTGGCCACTGCTTCGGTTCCCCAGCTGTGCTGCCCGGGAGCACATTGTGCTCACTGTGGTTTCCTTTGAGAACAGAGCTCAACTGCTTCCCAGAAACCAGCACATCATGAACTGGACGAGACCACAACAGAGCAACCAAAGCAAGATTTGCCAAACCACTTTTTCAGCCACTACCGTAAATGGTCCCATCTTGTCCTGATGAAGATTAACAGAATTCCCAGATCCTACTTCACTGGCTAAATTCCCCCATGGAAACCTTGGGAGTGAAACAGTCAAATACCATGCACTGTAATGAACTCGCAYGGACACTTGTTAGCAAACAGACACTAGGTCGGTGATGAGAGAACACCTTTCTGCAGAGCCTCAACCCCATCCATTTGTGAGTCTCGAGAGAAACTCAGACTACTTCCAGGATTAGGAACTGATGTGCCTGATCAGGAACAGTTACATTCAACATGATTATTAGGCTTAAGTTTACCATACCCCACAATTCTCTCCATCACTTTTCTCYAGTTCCCTTGGTGTTCCAGTGTGTCTCAGTCACATCTCTCACCCTCTGGCCCACAAGATCTAACTATATTTTTTCCTCTCAAATGGTCTGTCAAAATAACTGCTTAATAGTTTAAGCTCATTAGCACAGAACAAGGRCCATTATTTGCAGCCTTCATTTATCCTGAAGTTTTCCCCTGTTCCTGGCTAAAGGAGGCAGACAAAACTCTGTCCACCCCTAAGCACCACAGCTTTGTGTGTTTGGACAGTAACAGACACTACTGCTAACTACAAGCAYGACCTTGCATGAGGCCCCTATGCCAGGCAGAGGGGTGGTTACACTAACACGCATCTCTCCATGGTGCCTCTTCAGGCAAACTTTAGAAACAAATATGAAATGGGGCAGGAAGGGACTTCTAAGTGAAGAGTGGGTGTTGGTTCTCATAGAAAAGCATATTCTCACAGCCATGTCTAAAATGAAGAGATCTTGCCCTCATCTCAAATGCAGGAATTAATCTTCAAGAATCTAAGAGACTGCTARCAAAGCAACCACCTCGAGACTGATCAATTTTTAATGTGAAAGCAAACATTCAAGGGGAAGAGGATGATAAAAATATCTCCAAAGCAGCACAATTGTTATTCATTTTGGCTCAACACTGAGATCTCCTCAGTAAATTAAAAGCAGACTCTGCGTGAACTGCCACACAGCTCAGCCTTACTGAAACAGAATCACCAAGAACGGGTGACAAGAGATTGACAGAGGGAAGGCAGAAAGGCAGCCTTGGAGCAAGAGAATAAGTCAGAAGCTGCTGCCTCTCGCACCTCTCACATGTGCAGAGGGCCTGGGGTGGCTCCACAGCAGCACGGCTGCTCCCAAAGAGCAGAGGAGGGAGCTTTGATTTCACCCTGTGATGGGAGACAGGCTCTAGAACCTGCTCGCCCCGCACCGTCCCCATGGGCAGCTTGACTCAAACACAGTCTAAAATTATATAAACTGTTCCTTTGGTTTAATCTAAAAATATCTTCAGCCTCTTATCCTGCAGCTTCCCCCAGACCTTTCTGTCTCCTAAAAACTAGTGGTATTCCTCCAAAATATTTCCTCCCTTGCTCTTATGCTGAACCAGCTGTGATTTCTCCTGGACTTGAAATAACATTATCTAGCCAGTATATATAAAAGTGTGATTTTGTCCATCAAGCAGAGCTCTGAAGAGACTAGCAAGCTCAAGGTAACCATTAAAGGCTATTAAAAACACATACTACTTCTGAAGTCCATGGCGACTTCTGTACTTACAAGGCTTTGCAAAAGCAGAAAGAAGAAATTTGAGACAGTGAAATCCCATGTGATTCCACATTTCACGCTTGCATTTCAGGAGTTATAAGCTAYGCCAAAGCTGCAGAGGTAGTTAGTTCTGAGTCACACTTTATTAACCATTATTTTCCTTTTACAAAGCTTTTTGTCTGAAAAATTTAAAGCATTTGCAAATATCAAATMATTTAATGCCTGATCCAAAGCACACTGAATTTTGCATTTACCCCTCAATTTTCACATCTTTTCAAAGACAGCAATCCTTTGTTTCACAGTGAGTAACTTCAGATGCCCTAAAATCCTGTCAATGTGGGATATCTCACAAAAAAACAGAGAGAAGCAGCTTTTAAAAAATGTTTTGACAGCTACCACACCACCAGGTATGGCCAGCCATGACTTTATAGGAAAACCAAAAGAAGTGCCCATGTCTCCAGAATTATTATTTCTTTATTTTTTTAAATTTCTATCCTCTAGCTGATGGGCCTCAAATTGGTTAGTGGTTGGTACCACTCACTCACCACTCTGGTCTTTAAACCAAGACCATTCTCCAGTCTTTAAAGCAAGACAGACTTGCTGCACAATCAATAATTTGTCAAAGAATGACGAGATACAGGAACCAGTTTCTCCCTTCGAAATACTGGAAGGATTTARCTGTGGGCTCATTGAGAAGGCAACACACCCAGGTGGTGGTTGAGTTTCCTGGTCTCACCACACACGTGATGCTACTTATGGAAACTGCCTTTTGCAATTTCTCATACAACATTTAAGCCCTGGCTTAGAGAGGTGACATTTTTAGTAGCAGTATTTCTGGACATGTCATTCCTGAAGTCCTGTTACAAGTTTTGCAATATTTACACATACATACATGTATGTATAAGGCAACAATAGAGGTTGTTCAAGAGGCAGGAAGACAAACACGTAGTGCCAGTGATGTATAATGTGTGTTACACCTACAGGATAATGTACAGGCCTGCAGCAAGTATGAGTGACACTGTAAAACTCGCTGCTTTAACTATGTGTCATTGCTGACCTTGAGATAATATTCAAATCAGAAGTACAAACAGCAGTCTGGAAAGTACAAATCACGTGTCCAAGTTAGTGACATGCACAAACTGGAATGGTGGTGCAGAAAGAGCACATTCTGTAGCTGCAACATGCAGCAAATGCATTAAAATGCCTGGTTGCAAGTCACACTTATTCCAGTTTGGAAAATGGATAGATTGAGATCACTGGTAATTTTCTTTAAAAAGGGACCGCAGGCTTGTCCATCCATCAGATTCATTTTCACAGATTCAGCAAGTATACTTTTAATTTCACTAAGCATAAGATGGCTTTTCCTTGATTTCTTGCTTACAGTTTTCCTTGCAGCACCTATTGCTCCAAACTCAAAAGCCATGTACTTATAGAATAAGGAAAAGGCTTGGGGGATAGCACTGAAATGTGAAGTAACATTCCACTAGTCYTAATGTGGTTATTAAATTTTGTTTATTTTATTTAAAAAAATCCTTTCAATTCTCTTCCCAGTCCTCTGTAGGCTCTAATTAAAAGATGTCTGGTATGCACCTGAGCAGAGGACACACTGAGTTCTGCTGCATGTATCTGCTAGATATACTCCTGAGGACTCGTTAGGACTGAAATTAAGCACTGCAACAGCAATGGAAAATGCGCAGGGCCCAGGTGCAAAGCTGCAGAGACARACAGAGATGCTGCCTACCTTGCACTATCTCAGCTATCTCCTTGCATCTGCCCCCTCTGCTTTGCTCTGCTGCCCAGGACTCCATGGCAGCTCCTTTCCATGGAGGAAATATTCCACCAGAGGTATCTCCCAATATGCACATACTTTAAAAAGTTGGGACAGAAGAAGGGGGTGCACCAAATCTCCCAGGATCACAGGGAAAAAGGAAGAGGGAAGTAAGACAAGCATTTAACAGCAGCTATGCTGAAGCACGAGAGTCAGAACAAAACAGAGCAATTGCACATCAAAATAACCCAGCTTTTCATGCCCAGGAAAGGTACAAGGAGTGAATGAATGTGTGTATTTTGGTGTGATGTTTGGTTTTCAGTTTGATCAACTCATTTAGCTCCTACCTTGTCAAACTGGCATGAAATACTATCATTTGATATTACCGGCACTGTTAACCTATTTATTTTGTTTTGAGGGGGATGCAAATCGGAAAGCTAGAGAGGAGAAAAGAAAGGAGGAAGGAGAAATCAGGTTTATCACGTTCATTTTAATGGACCAAACTGAAGTTGACCCTTTGCGCAGGCAGAGCAGCAAAATGAGATGCACCTTCAGGGCATCACTAGGATCTCACCTTGAGGCTCTCAGGTAACTGCAGGTTTTTCTTACGCAAAGAGATATAAACACCTATGTGCCCAAATTCCTGGGACATATACTCACCATACACCTTTTCATCATAGTCAAGAGCAATAACCATTAATTATTATGATTGCTCCTCAGGCTGCTAACAATGCTGATTTAACATTGTTTTTGTTGGGCTTTTGTGTTTTTCTGTTTGTTCTTCATGAGTTCCTCCTGAATGGCTTTAAGACATTCATTATGATCTTACTATAAATGCTAAAACTTCAGACATCAAAGTTTCCAGTATTAGTCACRATAAAGTCACCACTACTTCCTTCAATGTAAAATGTCTGTGGATTTTTAATACTGTTCCAGCTGGTTTAGAAAATGCCCTGTCCCATGTTTCATAACGCAAAATCAAACTTTTCTGTCACAAACTAGAGCAGCTCTTGCCCTTGCTTACATCCAGGATTCATCTAAAATAAACAACAAAACTGCCTTTAATGAAAACAAAAGAAACAACAATCAGGAAGCAGCTATGAGAAGCAGCTCAATGAAGGCAGCAAGAACAAAGCTACTTTTCATTATTATTTGAATTCAGTTGCAGGGGACTATTTTTTGTTTCAACAGATATCTGCCATTAACATAATACAACCCATTTAACTTCACAACGCATAGCAGAAGCAGGCAGTGAAAATGACTGCTATGGATTTCTTTCTTTACAGCAAATCCCCCAAAGTAAACAAGTGAGTCAGACTTGTAATACCCAGGTCTAACAGTTTGAGTTGCCATGGGTAACATGGGTAAGGCTCTAATTCTGTTACTTAGACAGAAATTCACTACTTCACAACAGTTGAGAATCTGGCCTGTGAGTTACCAAATTGCAGAGTAATATAAAACCATGCTACAAAATAGCCTTTGTTCCATTCCCCATTCTTAAGTTAGTCAAGACAATGCTATTGTACTGGAAAGATTTTTTTCTTCTTAACAGTTTCTTTACATGCAGTGCAGATTTCAATTAAATCCTACCTTCTGTTCCTTGCCTTTCTTATCTTTCACAACTAGAGACATCCAGCAAGAGAAAGGTATAACATGGAGCAGTTATTCATCCACTCATCATAATTTCTAAAGTTATATCTATATTAAAATACTGAGCTTCAGATAAAAAATAAAACAGAGTGCCTCTACTCTCCTCCGTTCTCCTGGTTAAATTCAGAATCTCAACCATCTATCATAAACAACTCTTAAATGTCCTTTTCTGATATTATACTGTTCATAAAACTGGATAGTTGGTGCCTGCTGCAGGCTCTATAAGGTTACTCAGACCCAGTACGAAACTATCTTCAACAGTTTTCTCATGGCCTCCTTCAGTCCAGTTTTAAATTTCTCAGGTTAACACCTGAGGTTTCTTAAGTCCTGTAAATAACAGGCAGCAGTCATTTAGGTTTAAAGGAGTATAAGGCAACATTTTCTCCACTAAAAACCTGAAGTGGTTGTATTCACTCACCTCCTGACAGGTGGCACTAGGTAGAGGCTGGTGGGCCAGGGACACAAGGGTATCAATCGTTTCCAGCTCCTGTTGATAAAATGTCTGAATTCTGTTCTGTAGCAAGAAGCCTTTCACTTTCTCACACAGCATATTTGAGAAATCCAGGCTCTCTGGGCCACTACAGGAACACACAGAACATGTCAAAAAGCAAGAAATACACTACTAACTTTTTAAAAAATAATTGCCTGAATTGAGTCTGGTTTTCAAATATCAATAGCCTTTTACTGTCTTTGAAGATTCTAACTCTACATACTTAATTGAAACAGTCAATTTTTATATGCACTGAACATCCAGCTGTTTCTCTTCAGTCCTTTTGTGTTACATTATTGGGATTCAAGATCCACAGTCTCTGAAGCTGCGCTGTATGTGTCAGACCTTCCAATAAATGTCCAGTTACCCTTTAATGGCAAMCTGAAGCTGGGGCCAGGATTCAGTTATTGAGGTTGCACCTTTGGGATAGGAACATGACAGGGCTACAGAGTCAAGAGCATTTTGTCAGAATAGCTTCTTATTTTTACATGTAAAACAAGAATCAAGCAAGGCCACTCCACCATTTAATTTGCTGATCTCCTTCCTGAACCCCAGTTTACTGTCCTAGATGTAAGAGGTCTCTACATGGTGTTTTGCTACCTCTGCTCAAGTGCCCTACTTCTTTTCTCAAATTATGGGCGGGTATCTCATCTGTATGGCTCATAAGAGAGCACTGCAGCAGGTTGCCCTGAGAGGTTGTGGAGTGTCCATTCTTGGAGACATCCWAGGGCCACTGGGAAAGGGTCCTGGGCCATGTGCTGTACGTTCCCTGCTTGAGCAGGGTGGGGGTAGATCTCTAGAGGTCCCTTCCAACCTCAGCCATTCTATCATTCTGTGATTAATTCTTTAGGAGAACAGCAGGCTGCTATTGTATATTTGTGCTCCAGCTAGATCAGCTGGAGCCTTTCCACACAGATAGTATAATAAAAAACAACAATAAAATCCTATACTTCATCTCAAGACCAGTCTGGATAACACATTTACCTCTGTGTCCCCTCTGGAACTTGGAAAGGTTTATCATAAACTTCTCTATAAAGACAAGGGAGCTCCAGCATTCTTGAAATCTGAACATCACACACGGGGTCATCCACTTTATCTGGAGGGGTGAAAAGAACATACATTCCTGGCCAGGGCTGCCATACCAACCTTCTGAGCACGCATACCTGAGGCAGCACAGAAGCATTGCACATGCCAGAATTAAACTGGCATATTTTGCTCTCTGCCATTTGTATAAAAGCAAAACCCACAAAGGCTACTTCCACTTTCGCATCTTACATAGGGGTAAATGATCACTTAAATGCAGCGCAGACTATGCTTTTCTCTGACAACTTGTTTAACTGGAATTTAGGATCTCTGTTTTACCTTTCAGCAATCTTGATGCATTCAATGAAGTCAAAAAAAAAGTAAGTAGCTTTATTTGGACCAATGTAAAAGCAATTTAGAGGCCATTTGAATTGAACGGCTCTTACTTAGCAAAAAAAAAAGGGGGGCAATATTACTAGCCTTTGAATGGGTTATATGCTCATAAAACTCCCATTTGGAGAGAAGGTTGAATTCCCTCTCAGGTTTTAGTTAATGATGAAAAAGCTATAATCTTTTTATTTGATCTATGCAGAGTTTTATAATGATGGGCTTCTTTACACCAAAGGATTTTTTCAGTATTGTCCCTGAAAGACTTAACGGAGGAAAAACAGCCTTTACACAATAATACAGACATTAAGAAAAGCAGTTATGTAAATAAAAAGCTCCTAGGATATCTGTAACTTTGTGCACACAATTGCTACACAGAAGGGTCAGTACCTGCAGCCTCAGAGACTTAGCTGAAGAATTCTCAGTCACTCTGCAGAGCCAGAGTTTAGCACAACCTGGGCTTCATGATATATCATCATACATCATAAATTACTGTCTGTCCATAGAGAGCCTGTGACAAACATTAACTGTCCTCCAAAGCAACTACACTCTCGTTAAAATGTGACATACAAAATCACTAATTCCTCCCTGGGATTTTGACTATTCCACTTCAGCACGTAGAAAATTGGAGCACAATTGACTGTCAGGTACCCAGTTACCAGTATCCAGTTATCTTGTACTCATTCTGGTTACCCTTTACAAGCTTTTCAGGAAAGCCTCATTTTCAGGAAGTCTATTTCCACCAGTTAAATATCAACTCTCATCAAAAAAATGAGGTGCCAGCAAATACAGTGGCAATTATTCAGCAATTTACCTACAGTTTGGGTCTTCCTACAACTTCAGACAACCACCTTACATATATCACAAGTGCATCACACTCACAAAAAGCAGAGGCCTGAATTTCTCTTTGCTGTCGGTAGGTTCGGATGTGACCTCTAACCCTGACAACGTCCCCAATTTCCAGCTTGGTTTTCTGGCTGATCATTTCCTGGAGCTTCTTCCTCTGTTCAAGCACATTAAAATCGTTGGGTGTACTTGGAAAAGCTGTAAAAAGCAGGGGAAAGGAGATCAGGCATCTTTACCCTATATTTATGCAGAATCACATTGCTAAAAATGCTTGAAGTCTGGGCAACAAAATTTCTGAGTATCAATTTTAGTTAACAGTATTATATTGACTTAAACAGTTCACCTGGGAAAGGGGAAAGAGAGGAGATTGTGACTTATCATTCTGAAAATGTCCTAGAAAGGTTGAAAAATCAGAACATTAACTGCAAACAGGAAAAGCTGATGCTGTCATGCTAAGAGGGAGGAGAGGAAAAAAGCCTAGCTGAAATTTTTGCATAAAAGAAAGATGAATCATCCRAGGTGGGGCCAAGGTATTTGTGTGGTGCAATTTGGTATCTACACTGCTGTGAGCACAACTTGACAGAACTTCGTGTTTACGTAACATACCTTCCTAAGAGTAAGTTCTTTATAATTTAAAACCTGCTTACTGATATACAAGCATCTATGAGCACAATTACAAGCTGACAGAAAAAAATTGCTTTTACCCTCTGGGACTTGTTTTCTCTAGCCAATACAAATGAACTAATTTTCATCAATAAAACTGTGCATTTTGGCACTATTGATGTGCATGTAACTTAAGAAYATAAAGGTGAAGAAGCCTTCTGGGTTCTCATTCTACATTAAGCTGTATTTCATGCAATTCCTTTTGTGACCAAGTTCCTCATTAACCATTGCTTTGGTTGTGGGCCCTCACTACTTTTTGGGAAACCAYGCCACAACATTCCAGTTACACAGGAATTTCTCTTAGGTTTAATGACAAAAACTACAAGGTAACCAGGGAGCTCATCTTTCATCTACATCCAGCTTGGTGGGCTTGCTGTTTTATACATAGCTCAGAGAGAAGACTAACTTATATAAGAAGTTAGAGCAGTTTATGTGCTAAAAGCTTTGTTAAATGTAAGTAGGTTTGTACATAAATAGGCTTGTTCCACAACCACCAGAGCATTTGCCTTTTTCATTAAGTTTTCCTCTCCCCATCCTACTAACTGTATGTGTTACAAATATGGGCCAATGCCAAGTAACATTTCTTTCCTAAGAGTTTGATAATCTCCATATGTGGGTTCCCAATATAATACATGAATTTTCAAGCAGGTGCAAAGYTGAAATTATGCTATGCATTGATGACAAGTATGAATTGATGACAGTGGCACTATGACAAGTGCTGAGGGAAAAGCAAGGAGAAAGATACTAGTGAGAAGCCTTGTTATTCAGCGCAAGAAGTGATTCATGTCACATGTGCAACTTTTGCACGTTTAGAACAGTCCAAAGCATAAAAAACTGCTGACGTTCCCACTGTGTTTAAGCTGCTTTCAAGGTCGCCACTGATAAAATAAGCACAAGCAGAAGGGGAATATAAACGCAAAGAAAGAATAAAAGAGGCATCCTGAAAACCCTGAATCACAAGGGTGAGGAAAGAGACCAGGTTGCTGGTTAATAGATGGATTTCAGAAACAGCAGCTGTGGCATGTGGCAAGTTTCCAGGATAGTTCTTCACTAGATGAAGTCACAAAAGCACAGTAAGAGGAGGATTCTTTGAGCAATTTCACAGCATGGAATTGAAATATTATGTTATTCAGATAAGAAAATACATGACAAGTCAAAATGTCGTGTTTTTATTGGCAATAGCACAAAGAAACTAATAGAGGACTCACAAAATGGCCCAAGCTGTAGGATGTGATGTTATTTAAGAAACAAAATAAAACCAACCTCCCCTTAAAGTGTGATTTTAATTTGCTCCTCTTAAGTTTGATTATTTACTAAGTTATTTAAGAAAGACATGAACAAAAACCATTCAGTCAAAAGCAGAATTAGACATTTGATAAATTACCTGATAAAGGTCTTTCTGTTCCCACAGGATTTTTCCAACAGACACAATTTATAACCCCAGTACTATCATCCACTGCAAAAGAATTGCATGAATCACAGTGATTAAGAAAACAGGTTACAAACTTCCAAGAAATTGAAATGAATACTGATAGACATTTAGGGAAACGATTGCTAAAGGCATCTCAACTCATCCAGTTCAAAAGGGAAAGTGGGTGCTCAACTCCTGCTTCTGCTTTTAAAATTTCAGCGTTGATTCAATTGCTGAGGTAGCTCAGCACCAGAAATCATGAGGTCATTAAAACAAGGTATCTCTTTTTTTTTAAACAAAAAATCAAGCGCTGAATTAAATTATGAGGTTTCAATACATTCATCCAAGGAAAGGAAATAGTGGGGATAAAAGTATTCTAAGTTGACCAGGTTGAAAGCAAAATGARTGCTGAATGCTATAGACAGACAAACTAAAATAGGAAACTAAGTACAAAAGTGAAGAGCCAGAGCAATTTAYTATTGGGGCAATCTATTAACAATTCCCTGTTTCTTAACGTCTTCAAATCAACATTAGATATTTTCCTGCCACAAGTTCTAGAGTACAAAAATCAGAAGGAAAGCTGGACAGTGGGAGAGAAGAGAACCCTAGGTCTGCTAACTGGTAAACTTGGCTTTCATTAGGCAGGAAGTTGCTCAAGTAACCCAGTGGCCCCTCCTGACCTTAAAATCTCCTAAMGCAGTATGAAACACATCAAGATAAATATTTCTCCCTCACAGGAGGGCACCACTACAGCAGTGAAACACCGCTAGGATTRTGCACAGAGTCTGCTGGCGGTTCCTGCATGAGAGGATGTTGCTGAGAGCAGAAAGGCAGCTCCTCCTGCCAGGAAGGGACGGGGACAAGATGCTCACAGTTGTGCCCTCGGCCAGGGATTTCCAGCTTACAGCATTTACACCACTGGTGGCCTGCACCTCCACTGCTCAAAAAGCTCAACCAGGGCCGGGAGCTGTCCGGCTTTTCCCATTTTGCCAGTACCCCAGCAAAGTAACTTGGGCGATTTCTGCCGTAGGCACCATACTGACAAGGACAAAGCAGAAAGACAAAGGCTAAGGAAAACAGAAGAGCCAGAGAAATAATTGTTCTACAGATCACTGTTTGAGCAGCTTGTCCAAGGAACATCCTCTAAATAAAATATTTAGCAGAGAAAAAGGCAGTTAAAGCCTGTCACAACATGGCACGGATCACATTTCAAGGCCAGCTACCACTTCAAGCACCTTGCTTCTTCTGTATAGCCATCTCAAACTCTGAGCTTTCACAAAGTGGAACCTGCAATTTTCTTTTGCCCCTTAAACCACATCCTAGACTACAAAAGCATCAGTGTTTACCATGAAGGTCCCAACTGGTACCTGCAGTTGTTTCCTCTAGGAACCAAAGCATCAAAGCAAAAGGCTTTTACATTGTCTCATATGTTTTGAAACAACCTCCCTATTTGGGGGGATCCAATTTCAAGTCATTGTCTTGGCTTCCTGTTTCCCAGCAGCTTAGTCTGGAGCGGGCACATTTCTAATAACCAACATACAGCATCTGGGAGACACAGGCAGTCCCAAATCCCCTCACTAACAGCATGCTTGGCCCATTAATGCCCCCCTTTTGAGGTGGTGTCTGCAGCTTCCATTCTGCATAGGAGCTGCTGCTTTAGGATAAGATAATGATCTAGGTGGTAGGATTTCCTCTCCTCCATAGAGAAAAAAGCAGCTGCTACAGCAGAYGGAAGAGCCCCCTACGTTCTGCCAAGACACTATCACAAGCCAGCAAGAATCAGGCAGACAAGGTCTCACGAGAGCCGCAGTGCAGCACCTGCATGACACAGCTTGAGAAAACCTCTGCTGCACCAAATGCAGCAGCTCCCCTTCAGCGAAGGGCTTCGAAACAGAAGAAACAGGCCTGAAGGATCAGGACGGGCTCCTCACTGCCAGTGTGACAGCAAGCAGCAAAGTCCTGGAGAGGTTCTCCTTGCCCACAGAAGGAATCTGGTACCAGAGACAGGCTTTCTCTCTTCCCACAAAAACTCTCTGCAAAAAGACAAGTAACTAGCACGGCACTGATGAATGAAAACTCTGCCAATTGTATTCTAATGAGGCAGGAGAATGTTAATCTATTCTAAGTGGACTCAAGGAATCCACAAGCTGTTGGAAACTTCCTTTGTAGCCTCTTCTCAACAACTTGGTTCTAAACTTTTTTTTTGACCTTCACCTTAATTTAGCCCACTCAAAGTTACCTAGTAAATGAGATAATTGAGTCCATTTTTATTTCTTTATAACAGAAGACAATGTTCCTTGTAGGCTCTGTGCAAGTTTGAGATCCCTGTGAGATTTTGTTTGCTTGTTTTTAACAGCCTCAGAGAATGAAGTGAACCAGATGAAATACCATTTGGTTTGGGAAAGACAAACAAATCAGAAAGGTACACTGGCTAAAATAGGAGCTTGCTCAAACCTAGGCTTTTCTCAAATATCCTTCTCTTAATCAATTATAATAGCAATAAACAAATAATAAAATCAGAACTTCAAAACCTGGATTATCTAAAGTTATTACTTTCTTTTATCCAGAAAAGACAGTTAACTCGCTGTCTTCCACAATTGCTACTTCCTCACCCATTGTGGCTGTTTGGCTTCCAGCACAGAGAAGACCCGAGATCGTCTTTAAGAAGAGGTGCATGCTCTGAGGTAGATGCGTAGGAACAAGGAGAGGAGATGGTGGCTGCGGTACGAAGATATTTCAGTTCTCTATCAGATAAAAAGTACAGAGGGGGAATTGCTCTGCAAGTCCTTTTAAGCAGATGGAAGGCGAGCAAATATTGAGCAGTGTGTGGCACTCACTGATGCAATGCCTGCTCCTGACTCACCAACTGCTGAACTGAGAGTTGCAAGACCTTGCAAGCAGGAAACTGTCTAAGAAGTTACAATTTTATCCTAGTGGAATCAGTCTGCCTGAAACCGGAGGGCAGGCTGGGGAGGAGCACCCTGGCAGGTAGCCTCAAAGCKCAAACCAGGAACTGCTGGAACAAAGATGGGAGCTGAATGTAAAAGGACAGCAGGAAGCCAGACTGCCTGAGAGCTGTACTTAAAGGTTGGCTGATTTAACACTGAGGCCTTAATTCCACCAGTCTGCAGGTCTTTTCATTTCTGTTCCTCCATTTGCTTCCCCAGTCAAATATTTTCAACAAGTCTACATCTGAACTAATGCCAAGACCACTGTGGGAAACCCTTACCTCAAGGGTTTTCTTTTTTTGGCCTCGGTCATTTTGGTTCTGTCTTCCTCTGTTCATAGACAAGTACATTTGCATACTAGTGCAATAAAAGAGTAAGAGCTGACATTCAATCTACGTTTCAACAGCTTGTTATATCAACCATATTTCCACCTCTTAAGTATTTATTTTGCCTGTGCTACTAGAAATGCCAGAATATTTCATACTTTAACAAGCTTACAGTCAATTTATTATTGAGCAGAATGGCAGGGCTACATGGAACATCCAGAAATTAGACTTAAAAAAATGCAGAAAATGTCAGCTTTGAAAAACTTGCAGGGATTTTCTGCAGAGCGTAGGGGCAAATCTGAGGACACGCCAATGCAGGGCACCCTGGGCAGTGCACTGTGTCCCTTTCTACATCGCAGCAGCAGGATGTAGCTGCAGGTGCTGGGGCAGCTGGACTTGCCTATAAGTAGTTGCCTGCATCTTCATGACATTTCTGTGCAGCAGAGAACTGTCTCTGCCCCATTTTGCAAGTGGTAGGAAGCAGCACTCAGTGACTGCCCTTCATCAGGTGGAAACCGTGGCAGAAGATSGGAGACACAAGTCCCTCAATCTTAGACAGGGCTTACATGGATGGTGCCCCCCTCTCCTTGCCAGCTAGACCCACATACCCCTTTGCAAACTTGTCACATAACCACTACTCCAGTCTGTCCTTTCTCCAGATGAAAAAGGTAATTAAACAATAATCAAATGTTTCCATGTTAATTAAATAGTCTGAATACTTGAAGACAACCACCCTCCTTCCAGATGCAGTTGGCAAAGGCTGGTAGCATAGTGAYTGTGTTAGATTTGCTAAGGCATTGAAATATAAACTTAGATGTCTAAGCAAAAAAAAAAAAAAATCCTGCTATTAAAACCTGGATATGACAAAACAGGCAAGTCAGWAGGGATTCCTAGGGCTCAAAAACAGACAAAGTGACTTATTTGCAGGCTCCTTTAAATCCATTTATAGGTAGCTAAAAAAAATTGCATGTACGTGAGAGGAAGACAATGTAGTTCAGTGGCAAAGCAACAATTCAAATTAAGATTTGCTAGAAGACCTCCAGATAATCAGTTATTCAGCTTTAATCTTTTGTTTCTCTACCTTTTTTTGATAAGGAATCTCAACTGCAAATATCAGGATAAGAGCAGAGTTACTTCAAGGCGAATCAAATAAGACAATCTAAGTTCTCAAGGTTGGAAAGTTGATAGATGCCAGAATAAAGAAAGCCTTTTCTTACCTCCATAATTATAGCAGGCATTTCGCTCTTTGGTTTGAACCACTATCCCAACAACATCTACCTGTCGCACTGGATGTCCATTATAAAAGAATATACCTAGACAGAGAACATAAGAACTGAGCATAAAGACATATTCCTTACAAATATCCCRTAGTCATAGACCTGCTCACATGAAAGATCACCTAGTCCTGTGAGGACCAGAAACACTCTGATGCACAGGAAACCAAGTGCTTACTTCTGTGGAGTCTCAGCTTTTATCAGCCCTTTATTTTCTTGCACATTTTGATCTGCAAAAAGAGTTTTGTTGCTGTACTTTTCCTCCCCCCCCCCCCCCAAATCATCATCAGGTTTAGGAGTAAATAATCAAATACAATGGAAGCACTTCAGGCCTTCTCACAATGCAAATGTTCCAAATTAAAGCAAAGCTTCCAAAATGCAAAGTAAAATAAATGTAGTCATTCTTTACTAATGAAACAGTAGCCCTAAGGGGAATATAAGAAAATAAAAACACACACCCCACCAAAACTCAGATTGTAAAGAGTCCCGCTACAACCACCTACACATTACAATCACGCTACAACCACCACAGACAGTATTTTGAGCTCCAGTTCCAGAAATAACTCATTCTGAAAACATCCCTTCAAAGTTATTTTTGTGCATCTGTAAAGATGAGTTGGATAAGAGTAACAGATACAAAAATATGCCCAAGTAAGAGCAAGGAATCAGAGCCCAGTGGACTTCAATAGTACTGAGGCTGTCACGTGCTGTGACCTCTTTCAAGCACTAGAATAGCAGGTCTTTAAGCAGCACTCATGTAAATATTACATGCTGAAGCCTCACCATTCTCTAGCAGGAGGGAAAGAGAGCAATGAGCTACCGACACAGCCTGGGCTGGCTAATCTTCAGTAGATGTTTTTATTCAGTTTCAGAATACTACTGCTTTACTGAAATATTTCACCTGGGATGTACTTCTAAAAACTAGATAACTCAGGGGACTGAGAGGGAGTGTTTGGCTCAATACACTGAGTCAAGTCTTAATCTTGTAAAGGGAAAGAGAAACACTGCAGCAAAGGAGTCATGAAAATGTTCTGTATTAAAAAAAGGCAAAACGGAAAGCCAAAAATAACTTGTCCTACATAGCTGGCAGCCTTAAATGGGCCTGAWGTTAACTTACTTCACAAATGACAGGCAAAAGAAACCAGTAAAGCATCATAAGGTCCCAGGTGATCAGTCAGGAGGCTCTTCTGCAGAAGTATTGCTGCTAAAAGCCCGCTGCAATGGTCTGAGGATGCAGCCAGTGCTGTCACCCTGTAGCTCGCTATAGCATTAGTGCAGTCTCCGGTCAAGTCTTACGCTTAGCAGGTTTGTCCACTTTTCTCTCATTCCATTTACCAGGAGACAACAAACACTGCCATAGAAACACTCAGTGGAGATGCTTCTGCTGTGCATAAACATTCATTAAACCTTTCAAAATCTCTGCAAAAGAAGGTCTGAGTCAGATCCATGGCAYATCTGCAGGGCAGAGCCTCCATGCTCGCCACTGGGCAAAGAGCAACACAACAACAGCCCCACAGAGCATGTTATTATGTTCTCAATTAGTAAACTGAGTTATAGGTTTGGCAAACAATGGATACCAGAGAAAATTGGTTCTCTCCATCCCCTTAAATCTGCACCCAGCTCTATCCTCACTCTCCAAAAAACCTACCTAAACTTATCTGGTAGATGAAATTAAGCCTACATGGTCTATTAAAAGGTATTGAGCTGGACAGCTTGGAGAAAGAAACAGGGAGCTTTTCTAGCCTGAGATTATTGGTTCCAATTAAAACCACACTGCTAGGAACTAACATACTAAATATTTGAAGCCATTCAGTGCCACACATGAGCATAAGCACACTCAGTAGCACTTGTAGGAAATCAGCAAATACAGACATATTAATGTGCTCTGTCCACAGCAGGAAAACATAGCAGCAATCTAGCACAAGCCCTCATATCTTCACCAGTGTTACTAAGCAATGAGTTGGTTGCCATTAATTTTTATTACCTCCTTTTGTGCTATCTGGAACTTCCCTTACTTGTTGACAAGCTGTCCCAAAGCAGTGCTGCACACTCACTTTGAGAAAAGCTCCCTTCCCAGATGTGGTTATGTACTACAACCGAGTTTGACATCTACTAGCATTGCAAGTCCTCTAGGAGTACACAAATGCTCTTYTCATCTGGGTGGTTTTCCAGCCTTCTCGACACCATTTATAGCAGGAGAGAAATTGGCCAGGTTTACTGCTTCTCAATGTGTTGTTCTAAGGGATTAGTCATTGCTGAATCAAATCCTAATGCTTAAAAATGGAAAGAAAAAAAAAAAGAGGTCATTCAGCCCATTTCCTCAGGGTCGGTACAAGACTGTTCCGTACAGTAAATTCCTGGCAAGTTGTACAGCCAAGATATAAATAATCCCACTGATGGGGATCCCACCTTTTTCCTGGGTAGGTTGCTCCATGGTCTAGCAAATCTCATTCTAAGGATGCTTTTCCTGACATTCAGACTGTATTTCTTTCCACTCCTGGTTACAACTCCTTGTTTCGCACTCATTCATTCTTAATTAGCATTACTTARTAACTGATTTACAGTCAATCACGCACTTCACTTCATCTGGTCTTTAACAAATCCATTAATGGCAGGGAACACTGGCCTAAAAACACCTACCTCTTCCTTCACCCAGATATGCTTTTTTTTTTTGGCATTTCTATTGTATTATTATTTGTTTCCCCTGAATAAGATATACAAAAAAAAAAAATGGTTAGATATGAACACAGTATCAGGAGAAAAAAATATTTGTTCTATCAAGTTTTGTTCATTCACATAACTTAGCAAGAATGAACTTTAAAGTTTGGTCTAAAAAAATGATACAGGACTGCAAATAAGCTTAGTTGTGCAAAACACCAGATGCACAGGAAGTGGGGAAAGCCTGTGCCAATTATAAAGGCTGATATCTTGACATGACAGATACCACTTCCTTAAGATCATCTTAGAAAAAAATCCTAATGACAAAACTGAAAGTTCATGAAGCAGAGCACAACTGCAGAGCTTAAGAGAACATAACAGTGTTTGTTAGCAGAGCATAGAGAATAGCACTGTCAAGATCCCTGCTGTTGAAGGAAAATAAATATGAATACCAAATGTACAAAGTAGAGTATATAAGTCACATTATTCTGAGTCAGAGCAAGGCACCTTCTCCTCATGAGGAGAGAACAACAACAAAATCCATAAAACTCAAAGCAAAGCCATGCACTCAGCTTCAGGCTTGCACTATTCCTGATCAACTYCAAGATTCTTAGAGTTCCTCTCAGATAATCTTACATCCTGTTTGGAGTATAGGAATCCTTCTCCAAGAGACACCACACTGCAGAGTCTGTTTAGACTCTCCCCAGTGAAAACAGCAACTCGGGGCCAGGCCCACGCTGCGTTAGACAATGTGCACACGTGGGTGAGACTGGCTGCAGACCAGCAGGAAACAGGCTGTGGAGCACAGTGTCCAACAAGGTTAGGAAATAAAAGGTGTGGTATATGATGCAACATAGAGGCCAGAATTGACAACAAGTTTGTTCAGATAGATGACAGATTTCATATATTTATCATAGCTAGAAATTAAGTAGAAAAAAGGATATCCCTTTTTGTCATATATTAACATGCAYAGGCAAAAGCAAAACATATGCCCAAAGCCCTCAATTATCAATATTGTGCATTAAAAAGAATATTATGGAGATCAGCGAAAAACATAACATGTTTGACCAGATTTTCAGATAAAGAACACAATATGAATCAAATATAATACTGTGTGCACCATAAGCTGCATGTTTAAGTACATACCTGGCACTTGTTTAGATTCTCTCATTTCTTTTATATCCTTGATATAGAGTCTTGCAAATGCAGAAAATACAGGATCCAGCCCCCACAGCAGAGAAGGAATCTCTTCTTCATACTTTTTGGACTTGGACTGCATTCAACACCTGTGAAGATGGAAAAAGATGGAATTACTATCTACATAGGCAACATATGTTTATGTTTCAGCATGAAAAAATAGCTTGCGATCTCACACAACACAACTGATAAGAGACCATGTTCCCAAAATCTAGTTTTTCAGTGCCGCACGAACACATTTAATACAACATTATGTTTGCATAAACAGCATGAAATATTCAGAATATCAACATGGACAATTTACTTGAAGCAATGAGATTCACCAACAAGAGCTCTTCTTCAACTCCTTCAAATGAAACAGAATTCTATGGGCTTTTCCTCTATAGACCCAGGAACAGAGAACTAAAGCACAACACTACTTAAAGAGAACAGGATTGCAGGAAAACGGTCTTTTTTCCTATTTCATGGAGTTTTTTTTTTTTAATTCCATAATCTATCTTCCTCCTTGTTCACTGACTGCGTGTTAATGGCAGTAGAGGGAAAGGCTTATTTTATAAACAATGAATTAAAGCAAATAAGCCCTTCCTTGTTTTGGACATACAGTTTCCAATAAATTCGTAGTACATTCCCCTTCCACATATTCAGCTTTCCCTCTCTATAATAAATGCCTGCTCTCCTACATCATCACCACAGTTAGTTCTCTGCCCATCACATTACTGGTTTCAATTAAAAAATAAACAAAACAGCACTCTATTCAAAAAAAAAAATTTGACCTGCTCACTTTGAATATACATTTTTCTTATCTTTTCCTAAATTGTTTCCTTAAAGCTTTCCAGGTCCCCCTAGAATGAAACAGGAAGAGGAGGTGGGGGGTAGCAGCTTACAGTTGTAGCAAAGGTGGTAAATAGAGGGATTTTTGAATACAGTAGCACGGGTGAGTGCTGTCTCTTGAGAGGGAACAACTCCCTGGTATTGACCTCTGCACAGAACAAGAACCACATGCTTGGGTAGAAACCTCATGCTACGAGGATTATGGCAGCACCTTGCTAATTTGGGAAACACAACCTCCTGGCTACTGCTCAATTTCTTCTCTCATGCTTAGACTTTAATGGGATGGCAAATCACAGTGTGKCACAATGGGCAAGAAATGTTGCTGACTGCTATGCTACTTGTAGAGAACTGCAGGAAACAATTATCTTTATCCCCAAAGTTGACAGTCTCCAATTCTTCAAAAGATTAGCAATCATTTGATCTCCCAAAATTGATCATTTGTTTGGTGAGAAGTTGAGAGTATTCAGTCCCACCAGTCGCTTCATCTTTAAGTAACAATCTTAGTATTTTTGTTTATAATCGTACTTTTTTCTCCAGTACAGGTAACTTATCCAAAGCTACTCTTTTTGCACATGCAATATGTACCTAAAATCTTCTCACTATCCCCTTCTCACTCCAATCTGCCCACCACTGCTGCCACATTATATACACTGCAATAATGCTCGGCTGAAGTTTAGGAAGTAAATTAAGYGTATGATCCCGATAGCACAAGACCGCACGAGACACCACGTAGCAGTTCTTCATCTGCTTGCTACAGCCTGTATCAAATTTAGGCCAAAAACTTTCCCGAGCAGATACATGGTTTGATCTTGTACTTTACCTTGAACACCTGTGTTTAGGACAGTACCGGTTCCCCCTTTTTGCTGCAGTGTCTAGAACAGTTGCCTGCACCACTGTCTTTACACTACGGTGTTTTTAGAGCTTCTATTGGAGACGAAAAAAATGCCGAGAACAAAAATATATGCATATATTTCTTATATTTCTTTGTGCACCTTTTTTTCTCCCCAAGTTATTTAGCATGCTTAATACTAAACTTGTTATATTTCAGCATTGGGCTTTTTTCTTGGACACAAGCCCAAGACAATGGGCCAAACTAACAATCAAAATGATGAGAAATACCAACAAAGCTAACTTCTTTTTTTCTTGTTTTGCATGAACACCCATCCACTACAGTAAAAACCAAGGGCCATCTTTGCACGTGTGCCCATCTCTGGGGGATGAGCAGCAAACCACTGTAGAAGGAAAAAAAAAAAAAAAAAGAGACTTGCACTTTAATAGTTCCCTAAACTTGAAATGACCAGATGTTAACAGATTAAGACAAGCTTTAGCCAAGTCCCAGCAACACTGAGTGCACAGCAGAAGAGGCATCTCCGCATCCTCCAGATATTTTACTGCAGCACTGCTCTGAAGGAAGGAGGCCTCCGTATGCATTGCTCTATTTTGAGATTAACAGCCACACTTGTRGCCCATATTCATTACAATAGATTTTTGCAACAAAGGCTCTTTCCTTCCATCTCAGAAAGCCTATTGGGAGCTAAATCTAAATCCCGGAGTCTCGCTTGAGCTTGCAGAACTTGTTACTGTTCTTTGTAGGGGGAATTTACACCCTTCACATGCACCTTCACATACAGTACTGGTCTCCTTGGTTCGAGTCTACTACAGAAATGCAAAGTTTTATCTTACAAGTTTGGACAAGATTAATTAAAAAAACCTATATACCATATATAACAGGCTGGGAGACTGAAACTATACTGTGGCCCTTAACTTGCTTTCAGCAATGGCCAACTGGCTCATGAACAACTGTGCAAAGAAGTTTCCCCTCAGCCTTGGTAGCTATGCCAACAAGTGCCACCACCCCAAACCCACCTATTTTTCTTCCTCCCTCCCAAGTGGTCCACTCATTTAAAACCAAAACTTGCAGCCTGCTTAATAGTAAATGCATGGTGGGGAAGCACAAAACTCCCTAACATCTGTGTTTTGAGGCTCACTCTTAATCGCAGCTTGTTGTTAACAACAGTTGTCTCCTTTTTCTCCTGGTTCAAAGGAAGATGTTAAAAGAAACGAGCAACCCTTTCCAATGTACCTATTTTTCAGCTCGTTTTCAAGCTTCTTTGCAGATTGATAGAATTAGAAAACATCCTYATAAGGCAGATAAAAACGCTTCTCATCATTTTCTCAGTTCCTATAGAAGAGTTCCTTCCCATAAGTTTTTCATAAACTGGCACAGGAAATCTCTCCTTCCCCGGGGTTAATTAATTAGTGAGTCACCCTGGAGAAAATGGGACTTTCCATTATGCTAGGAGTGTTTTCAGCTCCTAATTGGTATTGTTGGCAATACGCTATCAGCCAGGAAGATAAGAGCTGCCCTGCAGAATGGGYGAACAGGGGGCAGATAGCAGCAGCTTTATAAACAATGCCATAGATTGCCAACAAGAGACAATTCTGAACAGATCATCTATGTGCAAGTGTTTAAGTAACTGATTTTTCTTGAAATAGGGCTACAACACTTGGCAGCRCCAACAATACGGAGACCTTGGGAAAGGCTGGCGTTTTCTGCACCTCACTCTAGATGCAGCTTAGGATTTTACATTTGCTGTCATATAAGAGATCTGATTCTACCAGGGCAGGAAGAGGCCAGAAAAGCAACTGGTCCGTGAGCTTATTAGATATGAAATATCTATTAGATATGAAATATCTTTTCTCCTTTTGCCTTCTTATAAAATATAGCACCCAAAGAAAGGCTATAAAGACACAATGATTTAAAAAAAAAAAAAAAAAAAAAAGAAGTCAAGTGTTAGGAATACTTCTCTGTGGAAAATAATTCTGTTCCAAAGGCAAAAATCTGTAGTTTACATGGCAGCTACATAAACACAAATAAACAACTACAAAAAAAGTCCCATTTTGAGACTATTTTAGAGAAATCCTGTTCACGGAAAGCTGGCTCCTCCACCTAGGGCAGTCAATGATTTAAAAAAAAAAAAAAAAAAAAAAAAGAAGTCAAGTGTTAGGAATACTTCTCTGTGGAAAATAATTCTGTTCCAAAGGCAAAAATCTGTAGTTTACATGGCAGCTACATAAACACAAATAAACAACTACAAAAAAAGTCCCATTTTGAGACTATTTTAGAGAAATCCTGTTCACGGAAAGCTGGCTCCTCCACCTAGGGCAGTCAATGTTCAGTTTTGTGACTGCAAAATTAAAGCACGTTCATAAACCTCAATTCTCTGGCRATCTGAGGACAGCATTATCCTTAAAAGGCAGAAAGAAAGACTAAGGAAAACCATCAACCTTCCCAAATTGCCCCATCCCACATTCTTCTCTCCTTAATGACCCACTTAGCAGCCTTGCTTGCATAGCACCCATTTAACACCCAAGTGATTTGTATAACAGAACTCACCCAAGCAAAAAAAAAAAAAAAAAAAATTTGGCTTCTCCTCTTCTGTGATGTACCTTTTTTTTACAAAAAGGTATCAAAAATTAGGAAATGGTATTCTTCCTAAGTGAAGCAGGAATCAAAGGAAGAGTATTTACRCTGTTGTTTCCCATAGGCTATTCTACAGGGCAATTCAAAGCAAATCTCTGGGAGAAAATTCCCTGCAGTTCTGCAGGATCACTTGGACCATATAAAGCCATATCCAGCTGCTGGTAGGATTTTGTCTGCCCCTAGCTGCCTACAACTGCTGGCAGAGCRCTGCAAGGACCCTCCTCAAATGGACAGGCAATCAGAAGCTGAGGAAATCTCCCCATCACTACAGACACATTAAACACCCAACCAGGCATTTACTACTCTGAGACCATCCCTGCTATCCTCGCACCAGTGAGTTGTGCAGGAACTCCTGAACTGCTAGAGGTAGCAGCTTAAAGTACATATTGGCTTATTTGAATACACCACACTATAAACTGTGGCTGTTGAAGTGCTTCGTGGGTCAGCCCTTTCTGCCACAAAGCAGACAAGATGGGGAAAGCCACCGCAGAGGAAACAGCTGAGAGTTGTGACCACCTCAGCCATTGAACTCACCTGGGTTTGAGTCAACACTCTTCGTGACAAATAAACATTATTCAATTCTTCATGAAGAGCAGAGACAATTCCAACACSATGCGGTTAAAAACGCATTTCAATAAATGGTTTTAATTACTCAAAGTCACACAGATCGTTTCAAATTGAAAACAAACCTAGCATGTTATTATGCAAGTTGATCTCCATGAACTGAGAAGTAAAGCCTTTTAACAGCTAACAGAATAAAGATTAAAATGAAAT